TCCATTATAGGATCCAGGTACGATTTTTCCTCCAACTGAATAGTATTCATCTCTTTTAAAAATTGCCTGTGATTCTGGGTCTCGTTCATCTTGATTGATTGGCAAAAATAGAGTCACTTCAATTTCTTTATCATTACAACCTGGTGGGTATGTTCCAAGAGCCCATACCGAAGGTACTTTCGCGTCTTCTTTTTCATTATGTTTGGCATGTTTAATTTTTATGATCGTATCTGCGTAACAGGGCATAATGTATATCTCAAAAAGCTAAAATTGATAATAATGTTTAAAACACGTCTTTTATATATCATGAGTTATTTATATTACTTATATTCCGCGCAAATTAAATATTCAACATTGCCTATACTTGTTATTTTGAGGTTTTACTGTAATTAGTAGAATAAATCAACTGCTTAATACAGTAAGTAATTGTGAAATATCTAATTACGATAAACCAAGAACAGGTGTACATAATTATTGATCAAATTCGAAGAATTGATAGAGAACCTAAATTCGTTTTTTGGGCTGATAAAACTATTCTGGAATTCAGAAATCTGAATTAAAGCATATCAAAGGATTATATTCTTATAGTATATAAGTAAAATTTATACATAAATAGAGTCTTTACTAATTATGTTAATTATAAAAAATCTTTACAATACATAGTACTGTATGTATAAAAAAACTTGTTGTGATGATCATTAACAGGATTCACAGATATTACCATAGAATCTTTACTTGTTATGTCAATTCTTTAAGTATTTACTATTATGCTTTATTTTAGATTACATTATATAACAAAGCACATGTCCATATATGTAATGTTTGGTTTGTAATATACGTACTGTACATACGATACTTTATAAATTATGCACATATATGCATGAATATTACATAATTGCATTGCAAATCGTAAACAAACCAAAAATGTCACACCATTACCAATAAAATAATTGGCACCCGCATCATAGAAAAGGTTTATTTAAAACCGTTATCCCCAAACTATGCCTTATTATGAGAATATGCGCTATATAGAGCTTATGTGCATGCCCAAAAATTTTTTATCATATTCAGGTTGTATTTATAATTTTTTCAGTTGCATGGCATGTCACATGAATATGAATTAATATATGCTGTGTTATAGGTTTTGCACAAGAAACTCATAGTAGCTTCGGTCTATAGTGGATTTATTTTTAAATTTTAGAGTTTAATAAAATGGAGTTGGATTTATTAAAGGTTAATTTATCTTTTTAATACAGTTATGATGGTTTTTAAAATAGATAACAAGAACGTAATTTATGCAGTATTTAGAATTAACTCTGTTTAACCAATTTCCTTATTTCATTTCTTCTTTTGGCTCTTTTATTAAAATCTTTGCATTAAAAAAAAGGGTATAATTCTTGTAAATTTGCCTTTTGCTTTGTCAATTTGTTCTGGAGTTTTGTCTCTTTTTACAAACTCTGACTAATCAGTTGCTTTTATTATTTATATCTATCATACCAACCTTATTATTGGAATTTTAAAAGTCAATCTGTATCGGTATTGGTGTTTATTAAATTCCAAATATATGTGTAAACTTTTCATAAAACATATACATATTAGTATTTGATATCTGGTTAGCAATCATGTTTATGCATGATCAACAATCAATTGAAGCTATATTAGTATTATAATTGTTAAAGCCCACAGTATGAAAAAGTGTGCATACAAGGTTAGCATTATGATGCAAT